TTCGAAAAATTCCTAAAGTGCGAACAAAAGGAAAAGGGTAACGCCAAGATGAAGCGGACACTCAATCACTTGAAGTCTAACACTTAGAAGAAATTCTAAAGCGTTTCTAAAAGCAAGGGGTGTTCCTTATAGATGAAATATGCTCACCTAAGTTACCCGTTTCGGCCGCAGCCAGAGAAAACAACCAAAGAGAACAATTATCCAAGTCCCAACTCAAACACTTGGAAAAATTTTGTAATGCTTGAAAACAAAAGCTAAAGGAAAAAGCAAGACGAGGACATCATACTATAAGGCCAGAAGCAATGGCTATCTTCATTCATTTGAAATTCATTACATAAGGAGGGCACAACGGCCATTACAAAATAGAGGCGCTATGGCACCTGCCTAAACTACTGAACTACATAAAAGGAAAAGGTAGCCGATCAGCTCTCTGGGGTGACTTCATCAGCAACCAGCCCCCCATTGGCTTGCTCAACAGCAGCCTCGGTGCCCTCTTCCGCCCCCACATTTCCGCTGACCTCGGCTGCTGCGGAGATAGCGGTGTCGGCCAAGGCGTCATCGTCGGACCAATCCGGCTCACCGATGGAGGAGCTAAGTATCGGGTCCTGCCTCTCAGAAGGGGGAGCTTCGCTTCGGCCTCCGGGTCCTTCATCATCCTGGGAAGCTTCAAGTTCTTCTTGGCCCATTTCTGGGTAAGCTTCAACTTCTTAAAAGCACGGTGCAGCCTCCGGTAGATCAGCCGCTGCATCCACTGCTGGCCCATGTCGTAATAAACAGACATCTCCCTTTGAAAATATTCTTGGCCGGCAAGGCAGTTCTGGCCACAATCTTCAAGCCGGTCCGCCACAACCTCGTAGCACTAGGGCTGATGGTCTTCCGCCTTCCAGCCTTCGGCCAAAAATTTCTCAATGGCGCCGTCACCAACCTTCTCAGCAGCCCTCTCGGCCTCAGCTTGAGCCTTCGCGGCGTCCTCGGCCCGGAGCAGGGCTTCGTCGCGACCCCTCAGGGCTTCATCCTTCACCCTCAGGGCGTCGTCCCTATCGGCCGCCACCTGACGGTACGATGCATCGGCCTCCTCAACACCCTTCTGCAGGACCCTCACTTCTTCCCGGAGCCGGTCCAGGCAGGTCATGGCCTCCTCGGCCGAAGCAGCTTTTTGCTCGGCCTCCTTCAACCGGACAATCTCTTGTTTTTGCCGATTGTGGCTCTCCATCAGCATAAGGGCACCCTGCAACGAAGAAAAAAGATTAGGACGATGCGAAGACTCATGACACGAAGAAGTATACAGTACAAGGAACTTACTTGGACGACAAGGTCCATCCCGCCGTCATAGGTCCTGACGGGACCAAGCTTTTTCAGGTAAGCCCGGTCCTCGACCGGGACGGCTTGAGCAAGCACATTGTGGCTGTCAACGGCGTCATTAAAAACGACACCCTTCACAGGGTACTCGACTTCGAGCTTGTAAGTCCCAATGGCCAGCTCCTTTCCGGCCCTCTTTTTCCGGGAATCCTAGCCGATAGGGGGCGGTTGGGACATGGCAGTTGACGAGGGGACTGAAACCGCATCGACAACGACAACGACGTTGGAGCCCCCAGCATCATCGGCCGGCATGGTCAGAACCCCGGCGTCAGCATCAGCCAAAGGGGAAGCCCTCTTCGTCTTCTTAGGCTGCACACCAGCCTCAGTCAGCTTTCTCTGGCCGTCATCCACTGGCCGTTTCTTCTTCGACTGTGTGGGTGGCTTCTTCCCCGCATCTGAACTCGGCTACGCGCCACTTGCAGCGACCAGCTTTGCCGCCTCCTTAGCGGCCAGCTCCTCCTTCACCTTCGCTTTTGCAAGGGCCATAACGGATCTGCGGTCTATTACAAAGTGTGCATAACAAGGAAAATAATTAGCAAATAGAATAAACAAAACTAAGACAAGGAAGCCATGGAGGGTATTACCATCAGCATCGGCGGGCACACCCAAATCCGGGTCATCGGCCTCCTCAAAAGTGGTGGTCATCCTCGGCCATATCTCGGTGTCACTCTCCTTGTCACCATAGACGAAGTACCTGAAGAAGCCGAGGGCAGTCATCTTATACTCCGTTATGTACTCTTGCACGCTCCTTGGCCCTCCTTTCAAAAATGCCGCCACCTGGGCATCCAAAATGCTACTCTTCAGCACATCATGGAGGCTAAAACTCCCGTCATGGCCGACGGAGGGAAATTCGGTGCCGCCCTCGCTCAGAGACACAAAGACAAACTTGATTTTCCATCCATGGATGGACGAAGGAAGGTCAGTAAAGCTCCCCTTCTTCGGCAGCTGTTGAAGGTTGGCATAGCCGGCACAATTCTTGCGGCTCCCTCGGCCGATCTGGTATAAATTCATAGAGAGAGCCGTCGTCAGCCTAAAGTCCAACTCATCGCAGCGAAGGAAGAAGCCGACGATGAGTGAATAGCTATTCGGGGTCAGCAAGGCCGGAGGGAGACCCACCATGTCCAGGTACTCCGTGATGAACGGATGAAGGTGAAATCTAAGCCCCTTGGCGAAGCTCATGGGGTATACTCCAAAGTACCCCGGTGGTGGATTCAGCACGTGGTCTGTCGGCCTGGGGGCCCTAACCCTTCCATACGGCCCCACATACATCTGGGCCACCAGGTAATCAGCCGCGCTGCTCTCCGGCTTGATCAGATAAATGTTCGTGAGGTCCAGGTAGGAGTAACCTGGACCCTTCTTCGGCCGACGCCTTCTCGTCGGGGCAGCCCCCTTCACAGCGGAAACCGGCTTCAGGCAAGGAATTGCGCTGAGGTAGATGCTCCGTCCACAACGCGGGAGACCACTACGTCCTCACCATCAGACAACGAGGCGGCCTCTTCGTCTTCACCTTCGCTACCCTCCTGCTCCCCTGATTTGAAAGAGCTCAGGTCCTCTATCTCTTCGCAACACTCCTCTACTACCCGGTAATCAAGGGATTTAGCGGAGGGCTCATCGTCATAAGGGTAGTATTCGTCGTCCAAAGGTTTCATCATAACAACTAGCTAAAGGGATTACCTTGGATCTAAGGGTGGTTCTCCACTAACACTATATCAAGGTCCTAGGAAAGCAAAGTATGCAAGTAATCGGAGGAAAGTGTGATGAATTGACCTTTGAATGTTTGAAGTCTTGAAGAACACTCGAACAAGCCTTTACCTCTCTAGAATTGGGCAGCACTTTGTTAGCTCAAGAAAGCAATAGCGATTCTCTTCGGTTGGAGGGGGTATTTATAGAGCCCCCCCCCAACGGTCACTACACGTGGCGCTCCCACACTGGCCACACAAACGGCCACCACTCCAGGGCCCAGTGGGCTGGCACCGGTTCAGTAGGTGGGCTAGGCCCATTTTCATTAGTACCGGTCCATCTCCAACGTAACAGTAATCAACGTCCATGATGGCCAAAGATCAACGTCCACACCGGGAGAGCTCGCCTACATCGGCCTCAACAAAGATGACTTCAAAAGGGTAGGTCACACCACAAGGTGTGCCCATATCGGCCCAAACCAGAATACCAATAGCATGGCCCTTTTAACGACCACAACAACATAGCAAAAAAGCAACCCCACAGCCATCGGGCTTGTACAAAACCCTAATGATAATTTCTTGAAAACGACCTGCGTCCAAGGGTTCTCCCACAGGGTTACCTTGGTCAGGAATTCGCCAAGGAGTTGGATTCAGGGGAATACAAGAATTCCGCTTTGGCCTAGGGGAATCCTTTACTCCTTCACCCCTCGCTTACTCTTCGGCCTGAAGCAGTGGGGGACTGGGGGACTACACCGGCCTTTGGAAATCAAGAAGACAAAACCAAAGAAATCCAAAAATATACTAAGTCCACAACTACAACATCAGATCACAGGGCACTCAACGGCTTTGAGACCGCATACTCCACTCTCGGCTAGGAATTGAGACAGGAACTCATCGTCCTCAAAACATGGACACCTAACTACGAATACCATCACTCCTCAGTCAAAAGCATAGAATGAGAGCCACAACGGCCAAATAAAGCAAACAGCACCCTCACCGGCTACCCGGAGGCAGAAGGACATTCATCATCCTCAAACAGGAGATGACCACAATGGTCTCCCCGGCCATGAGTACGAAGTTCAACCATCAACGAATAGAAGTAGGGAAGCACCGTCTTCATCGGCCACTCACGCAAGAGAACGCTCATCATCTCCACCAAGCAAAGGCACTTGTCGTCCTTCAAACGGAAACACGCATCATCCGCGTGACCAGGGCCCTCTTCGTATACAGCGTAGGCCACACAACGGCCAGAATGTAGAGTGCCCGTAACGGCGAAAAACGAAGAACCAGAGCAAAGGGTGCCAATAACGGCCATAAAAAGTCAACACCAGGGACTCTACTCTCCTTCACTTCGGCTACATCTCAGCTCAGAGAGTGGGGGACTCTTGATGGAGTATATGGGCCTCGATCTCAGGGCCCACATACTCGGAAGAACAGAAGGTACCACGACCACCTGGTGGGATCCTCGTCGGCCAGATGACCCCCATCGGCCAGAAAGAAGTCTACTCAGAATGTGATCCAGAAGCCAGGAAGAGCCGAGTGACCTCGTCGGTCGGGTCTTCGTCGGCCATGCCCTCGTCGACCATGCCATCATCGGCCATGCCCTCGTCGGCCACCGACGGCCTCCAGAACAGGATTTACACTTAATCTTTTCTATGCACTTTGTATCCGGCCCATTAGTGGCCCTATTGTAAATGGGCCTCCCAAGCCAAAGACTTGGGAGCCCAGCCCTAATTTTTCCTATAAATACTCCCTCTGGGAGTAGTTGTAAGGGTTCACAAAATCATTAATACAGAGCAAATATAGCACTTTTCTCTCTAGCTCTCACTTCTCTCTAGACTTATAGTCTATCATTATTGTTTCAAGAATTTTATTCATTTTTGGGTCTTATTAACTTATTAATTTTCTGTTATAATTTCTGAGTTTATTTATTTATGTTATGTTTATAATTTGATACTACAGGATGTCTTTAGTAATGAGAACATAGAAGTTTACAAAGAGCATACTCTTATGCATATGAAAGAGTTGTGGACAAATTGGAGATCGGATTTGTTCAGGAATAATGTGACAAAAAAGAATATAACCCTAAAAGCTGCATATAAGGCTATTCCACCTAAGGGACTTGACAAGGGTTAGTGGAAGTGGCTTATTAGAGAGATCTAGTCGAATCCAGAGTTCCAGGTAAACTCGTTGAATACATTGTAGAATCCTTACTTTCTAGTGTGACTATATATATGCAATAATATGAGATTTTGTTTCAGAAAAGAAGTAAAAGAAACTCTTCTAATAGGGGTTGTTATGCTACTGAACTCATGCACCGCACAGGGAGCAAGCCTTTTAGGCAAATCATTTGGGATGATTTGGTATGATATTTGTGGATTATTGTAGCCTTGACAAGATGTTATATTTGGTTCATTTATTTACAATTGAAAAATGAATACTTGTGTTTTTTGAAGGGTGCAAGTGAGGGTAATGATCCTAATTTAGTTGATGTCTTCTACACCACTCGCAAGAAAGGTGATAAGTTTCCGAATGCGGAGACAACACAAAAACATGTATGCCCTTTTTTGTATTGTTTGTCCACCTGTTTATGACAATAAACCTTTTTCCTTACAAAAAGAACTTGGTTTTCATCTACCTAAAGATATTTCTTAATGCTAACTGGTTTTGTTTTGATCCTTGTTGAAAACAATTAAATTTTAACTAGTCATTTTTCATTTAATTAACTACTTGAAGTATCATTATTTCCACGTATTATTTTCTTATGTTTGAATCATTTTCTTATGTTTCGAACAATAGTAATTTAATCAATTTTCAGCTTCTGTTTTGCTTTCATTAAAAGATCCCTGATTTTTAAAGAGGGTTTTATTATTTATGTTGAAAGACTAATGAATAACATTTTTTGAATGTGTATATATAAAACTTCAAAAACTTTTTAGTATGCTTGATGTGGATGCATTGTGCTCTGATGCCTAGACCTGTCACTGCACACACACACAAACAAAATGATGGGAGATATAGTATGTCTTGTTGTTGGCAGTAAATTAAGTTTCAATTTACGCTAGAATGAAGTCCATGAAAACATGTATTGAATGAAATGTGAGGTTGTAGTGTTGCTTCCATTAAAGTGAGTTTTTAATATGCATTAAAATGTTGGGAGTTATAGTACGTGTTTGTGCTGGTAAATGTGAGGTACCACGTGTTCTATATTGAATGAAATAAAGTCCATGAAAACTGGTATTGTTGCAAGCAGTTTGTAGCTCTTGTTTATGATCTTTATTTTGCAGGAAGAAATTCGTGAGACAATGGAAAATGATCCTTCACTTTCTAATGTAGAGGTATATTGTCCCATTTCTCTCTTTCTACCTAGCATATTGACTTCACAAGCTGAACAGTAAATAGTTTAAATAGTTTCTTGAGTGGCGCAATCAATATTCATGTTATGGGATTTTTATATTGTATTCTTCTTATATATAGGTAGCACAAAAGGTTTTTAAGTCCAAGTCTAAAGATCGGGTTGTTGGTTATGGAAGAGGAATAAAGCGTAGGGATATAATCGGGACGCAACCTAGTAAATAAGAACTTCAAGCTGAGTTGAATGCTACTAAAAAGCAAAATGAATTTCTAGCCAATCGTGTGGAGAATCCAGAATGAAAATTGTTGGGAATATTTTATGGTGTCCAATATAATTAAATATCTTTGTATTTGTGTAGTTATTAATTAAACGTGTAATACGGGCCACAAATGTATATCAGCCCGTGGGCTTCCTTGTAACCCGTAAGTTAGCCAACTTCTCCTATAAAAGGAGGCTAACTTACGGGAACCCTAACGATCGGATAGAGGCTGAGAGCGCAAGAGGCGAGATAGAGAGAGATTAGGGTTGCCGCTGCTCTCCTTCTCCAGGGAGAGCAGTGGACAGTTCATACGGTATACCAGATTTGGTTTTAATCTTGTCGATTTCTTCCTATCTGCTTCTTATTCTTCTTGCTATGGTTGTTGAATGTTAAATTATGGGTTTATCATTTGGTATCAGAGCCGAGGCGTGAAACAGGTTGGATCTATCTGCGATTTTTTGGATCTAACGAAGAACTGCTCTATTTTTTCTTCTGTTTTTCTATATGTAGAGATTTGCTCCTGTAATCTTGTTTATGAACGAAATTTTGTAAAAATCATACTGTTGGACTGGCCTTTCAAAACCGATCCAGCAGCATACCTCTTTTTTCATTTTCTGCAATCTTTATATTTCGAAGATCTCTACATTGAGATCTCGAAATCCTTATTTTCCACTACTGCAGAAACGTTTTTGGCTTGAAGTTGATACAGGAGAATCTCGACCTTCAGGGCTTTTCAGAACAGATTTCAGATTTTCAAAAATCGATGTTTTCATTTTGCAGGATCTCGACATTTAGGGACTCGATTTCCTCTTCTCGACTTCTTCTCGACTTTTGAGATCTCGAGATTTGGATCTCGACATCTTGATCTCGAGATTTGAATCTCGAAATCTTGATCTCGAGATTTGAAATTCGACATCTTGATCTCGAGATGTGAATCTCGAAATCTTGATCTCGAGATTTGAATCTCGAAATCAAGATCTCGAGATTTGAATCTCGAAATCAAGATCTCGAGATTTGAATCTCGAAATCAAGATCTCGAGATTTGAATCTCGAAATCAAGATCTCGAGATTTGTAATCTCGAGTTTTGACATCTGGACTTTTGGAATTTCGAGTTTAGGAATTTCGAGTTTTGGGATTTCGACATTTGGGATCTCGATGTTTTGGATCTCGACATTCTGAAGATTTCGATATTTTCAAAATTTCTCGATGTTTTGAATCTTTCAAAGTTTGCAGTTTCTTGGAACTCATAATTCGAATCTTGACATCCTTTGCAGTTCTTCGAAGCTTTACATTATAGGATCTCTGAATGATTCCCTGCTTATAAATGTTTCAGGAGTTTTTCGATGTTCTGATGTTTTTCAAACAGCAAGTTTTCGAGATTATGAGGTTTTCGAAACTCCAAAGTTTTCGATGTTCAAACATTTTGAAATTCTGCAGATTTCGATATTCTGAGGTTTGTTTTGCAGGTGGATTTCGCCATTATTCTTCGAGGCAACCTCGAGATTGTAATCTCGAGATTAGGATTTCGATGTATTGCCTTAGAATTTTGTTTAAAATCCACCTGCTCTCGATATTCAACATCGAGAACCTCATCTTCGGAGAAATTCCTCAAAAACTCAAAATTAGAGATTTTCTGCGACACTGCACTGTTTTGGCCATAACTTTTGACTCGGTGATCCGATTTGAGCAAACCATTTTTTGTTGGAAAGCTAACAAAAAGATCTACATTAATTATCGGGCTATGCCCCAGAACCCATTCTCACGCTCCCTCACTCGCAGTCCTTGAGGGTCAAAACGTTAGTTTTCCGACAAACATTGTAAATCACCGATGTCCAGGTCAAAACTTAGGCAAATCTGTTCAAATTCTTTCATTGTCAACTCTGAGGTCAAAGCTTTTCTAAACTTCAATGTAAAGGTCTGAAAATCGTAGATAATTCAATCAACCTCGCGTCAACGGTCATCTTACAACAATCAACAATCAACTGCTGAAGCCTCCCCTGACTCGTCAACATTATGTGATCATCAATATGCTGAAATTCTACATGATGAGCTCAGGGAAACCGTCATGTGTGGTACTTGTTCAGATTGATCCACACACATGACGGGTATGACAAGCTGTGAGCAATCAAACCTTGCACATTCTGAGGGGGAGTTTCAGTTTTCTCCTCCTGGCGCCTTACACCGACAAAGCAAGGAATCTCTCAAAGGATGCAACATTTTAGGGGGAGTGTTCAATGTTATCCTTCCCGGTGCCTAACAATGACAAAGCATACCGAGTGCTCCAGTTGAGGGGGAATACAGAGAGAAAATGAAGAAAGTAATGAGAGAACATGTCCCTATGGCTTAGTAAACCCAACTAAGCCTACCCAAGGGACAAAGCCGAGCGTAAGTGCGTGAGTGAGCGAGTGAGTGAGTGAACATTATGAGCATTAGGAAGCAGAAGGCTCAAGTGAGAAGAAAAACAATTATCAATGATGAGTCTGCTACCTCAATTGCCTGCTATGAATTGAACATTTGCTCCTAGCCACTAAAATACTCTGGACTATCCCCATAGGTTCAGGACTGAATTTATTCAGATCCCGGGTAGAAGTCGCTGCATTTTGTCCAAACGGCGCATGCACAACCCTACCCTAGACCACTCACTTGTCTCCCAACAGACCGGTCACCATAGGGATAGCCCTTTGGTTGGCCAAAGTAGATGCACCGCGTTGTGAACCATTGTTCACCGGTTCTCCACTTTCAGAGTGATTGTCGTTCAGAACATTCTGCCCAACACCAATCTCGTTTTCTTGAGAAGTCATTTTCGTTCTTTAACGTTTTTCCGAAAACACAAAAAATAAGTTCGTTCACCAAAGTGACAAACTACGATTTAAGATTGTTTACCTCAGTAGAACAATCAAGAAATATGTTTTAAGATTGTATCCGTATGATACAAGCTCAACAAATACGTTTTAATTAAATAAATTAATTAAAAATAAAACGTTACGGGAAGAAACAAAATTAGACCGTATCTTCTTGAGAGATAGATTTTTGGATTTGATCGGCACCCCCCCCCCCCCCCCCCCCCGCGCGTAAGAGAGAGCCTTTACCCTTAGGAATCTTAACTCCTTAAAAGAGGCTTCCCTTTATAAGGAGGTGAAAATCCCTTGAGTTTTTCGGTGTGGGATAAAACACACTAGAAACCCATCATTTTCCCAGTTTTCTCCATTTCAACGAGTGAACTTCGAGAATCAATTTCTCATTCACCCGTTATCCGTTTTGAGTGTACCAAATATCGAATTGTAGCCCTTAACAAAGACAATCCGAAACCACTTTGACCCGACCCAAATCGGATGTGGACCTCACTCAAATAATTTCCCCAAAATCACCATTTAATGCAATTTTTAACACATTTTTCCAACAGCTCGTTCACCGATTTAGTTCTCCTAGAACACGTTATCAGTACGAGAGAGCTCGCAACCCTAAAATCTTCTCCCTCTCTTTCAAGTTATTTTTCAGCCGCCACAACAATATGCTGGAAACCAGCACCTCCGCCGCCAAGCCCCACTCTGCCATTCTCTCCGGTGATCCTGGTTGAGAAGCATCAACCGAGCCCAAGATCAAACCTCGTTGCCTCCGTTCCACAGCCATCTTTTTGGACATCGTACAGAGCCAAATAAGTTTCTCCAGCGTACAACGCCAGAGAGACGGATCACCGCTCGCAGTACTCTCTCTGCCCTCGCTTCACTCTGATCCGGCAACCTCGTATCGATTCAGGTAAAAGCTAATACTATACCCGCACAGGTAGCTCAGTTGGTTGAGTGGTGAAAATTTGGATCAAGGGACCAAGATTTGAATTCCGTAGCGATCGTGTGGAGGTTACAGTCTCTGAAATGGGTTGGACCTCTGGCGCGCACGGGTATATGGACCTACTGCCGTCATCGTAATTTACATCCTCCCACGTGCCCTGTCGGGCGGGTGTGCGGGGCTCCGGGGGGCTCCGGGGTGGGAGATTCCACCTTTTGGATCAAGGTAAAAGCTAATACTAAATTGCTAATCAATCGATGCCCTCTCTCCTCAATTTGTGTGCCAAACTTCTCGTACTTTAGTATAAGTTTATACATTGGATTGTATTTTTGTATATGATGATATTCAGAGTAAACTATTTTCAAAAGAAATTAATAAAAAAACTTGGATTGTATGCATTCACACTGATTTTTTTATATACACCGTTAAGCGTGTAGTTCACTGATGTACTAATGGATTTCCAATTCATTTTTTTAGTGTGTGTATGCCTAGTCTGTTTTAAGTTTCGTTCTATTCTAGTTGATCATACATCCATATAAGTAATTTCTTTGCAGTTGAGAACTCGTATTTTTGTCTTGCCCTTTCGTATCGATTCAGTTTTTATTAATATTGTATATATATGTTTACCGACGCACCGTGACATACTTTATTTATTAATATTGACGCATGCATCCTCATATTCACGTACATCCATCACCATTCACCAGCAAGCATATATTGTCCATATTCATTTATTGTTATATATTTCCTTCTTATACGTATACTTTAGTTAATCTAAGTTGTACAGTCATATTCCTATCCATTCAGATGTAGAGGTAGAATAGATTTGTACGTATCCATAGTTAGATTAGCTTTGATTGATCCTATTGTTTCGGTAAATATTGTTGTATCACTTATTATTTAAATATACATGATAGTTGCATGGTGGAAAATCACGTTCTATCTTGGTATCAGAGCCAGTTTAGTTTTCTTCTCCAATGGCCTCTCAAAAATCTCCCGTTTTGCACACTATTATTGAGCCCGATGCCACGGCCAAGGAGGCGTGGGAACGCATTGCTGATCTGTTTCTCGATAACAAACACTCCCGGGCTATTCATCTTGAGACCCAGTTCTCCAACACCCGACTGGAGAGTTTTCCGAGCATCACCACTTATTGCAAAGCCTTGAAGACTTTGGCCACTCAACTCAGTAATGTTGGGTCCCCAGTCGACGAAAAGCGATTAGTATTACGTGTTGTTAATGGCCTTTCCGAGCCATACAACACGGTCGCCTCCTTCATACAACAAACGAAACCCTTGCCCACGTTTTATGAAGCCAGGTCCATGCTTATCCTGGAGGAAACCCGGATGGCCTATCAGATCGCTTCCTCACCTGCTGCAGCACTAGTCGTATCCACCCCTGCTCCTGCTCAGCCAGCGCCTCCTGCCGCACGTCCAACCCGGTCACATGGTCGCTCCAGATCAAATCAACGCCCAGGACGCT